CCCCGGGCCCCCCCCCCCCCCCCCCCCCCGTCGGCCCTATTTAGCCGGTCCGCCCTTGCTGTGGAGCCCGAAAAAATTCTGGGCCTGGCTTCCCCCCCACCATCGGCCCTGTTTAGCCGGTCTGCCCTTGCTGGGGGCCCGAACCCGCTCTCGGCGGCCCTGTTGATACCACTGATAATGAGCTGTTGTTGACTGTGGGCCACAATGAGTATGAACAGGGCTGCTTTTGGTAAGCTCCCTTCCTTTCTTACTAAGTGTTCTTTAATAGTGATGGTGGACAATTTCTCTTTTTCCCCAAGAGTACACTTCAGTGGGGTTCCATCTCCTCTCTCTTCTTTACTGAATATATATTTATGATGAGCAGTCAGGTTGTGGTGTGTACGGTGACACCTCACTCTGTAGCTCTAGCTCAGTTGACCTAGGCAACACTTACTGTTTTACACAGTATTTGGTCTATGTTGAGGTATCGACGAAAGCCAGCTGGCTAAGGCTATATCAATATGTATCAGACTGAAGTGATTTTGGCTGGTTAGGGGAAGCAACTGGGGGACATAGCAAGGATAATATTTGCCTTCTTGACTGAGAGTGTGTGTCTGCATTTGCTTGTTTAGCGATTGCAATCTTGCTACTATATGATCAGGTAGCAGCAACATCTGTGATTTTTTTCTATTATGAATAGCCAAGAGCTTGAAATCATTTGTTTTGGATGCACACCTTACTACTCACCCATACTTGATCTTAGCCAAAAGGCCGAGAAGCGATGAATGCAACCCTGAGCCTACTCCTCCCAGCTAGCCCTTTAGAGTTCTTCTGCCTAGCTCCATTCAGAAGCATCTCAAACAAAACAAACCTTCACAACAAAAAGTCCTTTTCTCCCCAGCTGTCTTTAGTGGGGTGCGTTTTCCCCAGAGCTCTGCCACTGTTTGGAGACAGCGTAAAAACAATTCAGTCTCATTCTCCCTGCCCCGGGAAAGGTTAGCAGGCAATTCTCTTCCTGCCAGTGTCTCTCCCTGTTATGAGGGAAGAAGTAGATTATATGGTGCGCTCCTTCTTGGAACTTGTCATGGTTGGCTGAGAAAGGGTGGAGCAGGACACTACAAGGCTCCTGGTCCCAGGCCAAAAAGAGACAGTAGCCTGGGATGTTTCCAGACTGTCTGTTACCCTGGGACCAGGAGTCATGCTCTCACCATCTGCTTCTGTCATTTCCAAGCCTCTGTCTCCTGCAGAACTCCTGGGTCCAAGTAACTTGGCCCCTGTGAGTTCCACCTCTGGCCTGAAAGGGCCAGTATATCCCCTTACACATACCTTTTTGTCTCTGAGATTAGGTTACTGCAGTGTGCTATACATTGGGCTCCATCATAAATCAATCTAGACAGTGAAGAGGGTACAGAATTCAGTACCCTGCTTATTAAAACTCATATCTCTGTAAGCATATTACACTAATGCTGTTTTATATACACTAGATTTTTGTTTTACTGGATGGAATTTAAGGTGGTCTGCTTGACCTTTTGAGCTCTAGCTGGCCTGAGGCCTATCTGAGACACCACCTTTCGCCCTGTGCCACAACTGCAGTCAGAAGAGGTTGTGCCAGAATGTTCTCTGAGATAGGTTCTCTACATAGGTACTCCCTCCTGCATCCAAAGTAGCTTGAAGCTGTTGCTTTTCAAAGCAAAGCACATCTCTTCATTCTTCCTCTTGGAGAAAGAGAACTAGGAGAGGGATGTGTGTGTGTGTGTGGCTAGTGTTGGCTGAGGGGGAAGAGTTAGTGAAATTGACAGAGTTCTAAATATTGTGTGTCAGACTCCACCAGTCTTATGCACAGTGGAGGATAGGTCCATCAATGGCTATTAGCCAAGATGGTCAGGAACGCATCCCTGTGCTCTGGGTGTCCTGAATCCTCTATTTGCCAGAAGCTGGAATGGGATGACAGGGGATGGATCACTTGATAACTGCCCTGTTCTATTCATTTCCTTTGAAGCATCTGGCATCTGCCACTATTGGAAGAGAGGATACTGGGGTTAGATTGACCACTGGTCCCACCCAGTATGATCATTCTTATGTGTAGCACCTTATTCAACGCATAGTTCTATTGAGGCTGTTATGGAGTAAATGTGGCAGACTCTGGTCCTGTAATTTTTCAGTGCTGTCTGTGGGCTTGCCTAGATGGTGAGTTTGTGCTTGGCAAGCTGGGGGTAAATCTACAGCACATTAGTGTGCGGTGCGCTACCTGGCCACATGGAGCCTGCTACTGTGCACTATGCATGGTAGCGGTACCACATAGCCAGTGGGCCACATGCTCGTGCACTTTCGATTTCCACCTCAGCGTGCAGTGGGCTAATTCTGTCCAAACAAGCTCAGTATATTCATGTACCTGCTCATTTTCCCTAAATAAATAAGGCATTTTAATGAGTCAACTTCAGTGTTAAAGTTTTCATGAAAAATAAGTTCACGGTTGACAGATGGAATAGTATTGTGTAGGGAGGAATAAGTTTTACAGTGCAGAAGTTTAAAACGGGTTATTAACCTATGCTTAAAATGTTTTATTAAACTTCTTTTCTCCCAACACCATTTCACCTTGAATCTTTGTGAAACCATAAAATGAACAATATTTATATCATCATAATTACATCTCTTGCCATTTTCCATTTGATTTTGAAGAGACAATTGTTTTCTGACAGATTATGGTAACTACATTTCTGGGGTCTCAGCTGGCATTCCCTCATTCACGCTGAAAGGTCCAGCACTGCAGCACCCCTCCTTCTATGTCCATTAATGCTGCTTGGAATGCCAAAGGTCACAGTATAAGACAGTAGTGGGAAATGGCCCTTTTCCTGACTGGCTGAGCATGTTACCTTCAGGACAGAATGCTTTCTTCAGGGTCACGAATGTCCCGGACTCAGTGCATGCAGGTGAGACATGGCCATACTACACATAACACACTACCACAGCTGCATGAGCCCACACACCCCTTCCACCAACACTCAAATCTCTCTACACTGCAATAGAACACCTGTGAATGGCCCTTGTCAGCGGGACTCCAGCCTGTCTGCATGTCTATACTGCAACTTTATAGCCCCCAGCCGGACCCCAAGTCAGCTGACACAGGACAGCTGCGGGTGTTTTATTGTAGTGTAGACATATCCTCAGACTTGGGCTCAGACCCAGGGTCCTAGAACCCTTCGATGAGTGGAGGGTTCGAGCCCAAGTCAAGCCGGGACCCAGGTTTCAAGCTCTATTGCTTTGCAGTATAGATGTAGCCCGCACCCATGACTCAGGTCCTGGGAGTCTGCCAAAAGTATCCCATAATCCTATGGGCCAACTTCCTTTGTCTTCTCTATCTCAAGAATTGCCAATTGACTCCAGGAAAACAAAAGCAAGCACTCAGTCAGAGTTTAACCCTTCCATTGTTTTCTGACCGCAGAGCTGCAAACACACCTTCAGAGAAGCTTCTGTGTTTGTAATGGAGACTGAACAGAAGATGCCCTTCGCAAGGGTCTCTACTTCATGGCTGTTTTGCTGGCCCCCCACCAGAGATTCACCAAAATCTGGCTGGAGCACAGCCAGATTTTGGTGAATCTCTGGTGTGAGGCCAGCAAAATGGATTTTACTAAGAGTACTAGGAATGACTAGGGTCAATGGTGAACTTTTCACGCTGCACTGTGGATGCCAGAGCCCTGACTTCGAGCCCAGGGTAGAAAAGTCTTAATCTAGACTTTACCAGTGTAGATACTCAGCCCCAAATTCTCTAATCCTGGGTCTACTGAGTTGAATCCCATTAACACCGGGCTTACATTGCAATAGAAGCATACCCTTTTTTCCTACACAAGACCTGAAGTATGGGTAACCTATGCTGGGGAAATAAGGGGGCTCTTTATGCCTCCTCGCTCCTCTATGTGGGCACAAAGTGGCTTATGACTGTGCCAAAAGTTGTCACTGAAAAATGAGAATGAATTTTTGATGAGTATTTTGCATTATTCACCCAATTCTAATCTGCTCTGTTTTACAGAAATTAAAAGGCATTTAATTTGACTTCAAGCTGCTCCTATGTTGACAATTTTGTATCCACCAGATACAGAAACTAAATTTGAACCTTTATGTTTAATGATCAGTGTAGTGTATATAAACATTAGTGCAGCTTTTTTAGACACAATACTATTGTTCATTCAATTCTCTTACTTAGAGTAATTCCCAGGCAGGAAAAGAAGATTCTACATACAGTAGAGACAGCCTCTGGGAAGGGCGAGGGGTTGTGAGACTAACCATATCACTTTTATATTTATATATACACAGAATTCTTTGCATGAGTGAGTGATCTCTTAAACTCAGTCCTCAAGATAATCACTTCAAACTGAATTATGATGCTTCATTTCATACTGCCAAAGCTATGTGCCCTAGGCAGTGCAATCATTATGGCGAACCTTTAGAGGGGGAACAGTAGTTTGTATTCAACCACATTACTACTAATTGTCTGAAAATTCTCTTCTGAAATTTTAGCTTTCCTCCATGATTACAAGACCCAGAATTTTCTTAAGAGTGAAGCACTTTACAGAGGAGAAGGCATTGAGAATTGGCAACTCACTTCAGTGATTTCTGAGAGGGTACCAGTCTCTGTAATCCATCTTTAGGCTTTCCTCCCTTTGTTGATTACTCCTGGGAGAATTCTGCACCACTGTGCATGCACAGAATTAATGTATCCCCCAGATTTCTTTGCAGAAAAATGACTTTTTGACAGGGAAGGTGCAAGAGCTGTCACGCACCACTCCCTAGCTGTGGAGGTACCTCATTTCAGGCACCCAACACAGAACTACAGCAGGAAGTGAAGAAGACTTGATTATTGTCAGTGAGTAAGTAAATGGGGGGTGGGGGGGGGGGGACAGCACTTATAGTAAAGAGCAAATGTGATTCTTTACCACAAGTAGAGCTTGTTATAAGATGTCACATCTTAAATTGTGTAGTCTTAGAATGTCCTTTACAGTAGATACAGACCCCTAAGAACTATTTTCTTTGAACATATTTATTAGACTGCCAAAAGTTTCCACATCAGCAGAAAATTAGACAAAATAAGGACTGAGTTAAATACAGTTGCTAAAGAACATTCATGGTATTATACTTGAAACTGTAAGCCAGAAGATGTAAGTTAGTACAAGTAAACAAAACTGCAAAGTTGTGAAAATACCCTCTTTCATTTACAATTTGGGTTTGGGGGTAACAACTTTATTCTGGAAAGGAAACAGTGAATTGGTGAGACTATATTTGTTCTTGAAAAACAGTCAAGAGTACCTTCAACTAGATACTGCTTTACAGTGATTATGAATGTGTTTGATGTTTTAAAACATTGCACTTCAGCCCAGAGAGCATAGGGTTTTTTTCCCCAGTAGGCAAGGCAGTGTTTATATTTATCTACACTAATATTTTAGATTAGAGATTTTACAATGGAATGACTTTTGAACAAGGCAGTTGTTTCAAATTTCCACATCCTTATACCATCTGTCCTACTTGTAAACACAATGAGCACTTTCAAGGGAAGTTCCTGTATAGTTTTTTTAAAAAACTAAACTAAAGGACAAAGGCTTACAGACTATTCCATGTTGTTTTCTAATGTAAGTACATAATGCTACACCATGTGGAGTGCTTTCTGAAGGGCTACTGCCACATCTTCACCAAAATAGACTTTGGTAAATACCTTCTCTTTTGTATAGGCAAGTTGCATAGGCTATCAGTACAGACAATAGATTAAGAGTGTGTAGTTAAAATTCTTTGTTGGGGGGAGGGGGGGGGGGAAGAGGAGAGGAAGCTCTCTAAACCAATCTCCTCCCCAAACATTTCACATCAATTCAACCCCTTTAGGCAACTAAATATAGCCTCCCACCAGGAAAAGAGGGAGGTTCTTACGTTGGTGGCCAACATATTGTAAAAGCCTAGGGAGGACAAGGCAATTTGTAGTTTTCACCCATGTTAGCAGACCAAAGTAAATCCTAGGCCTGGTATATGCTGAAAATTTAGGCTGATTTAACTACATAGCTTAGGGGTGTGAATCTACATCTCTCAGGAGTGTGAATTTAAATCAACCTAAACCCCAGTGTAGACAGCACTAGGTCAACGGAAAAATTCCACCTTTCTAAAAAACTTTTACCACATTACCTACCATGAAGAACACACACTAGTGAAGACAGGGTTGTAGATTATAATATGCTATAGAACTCAGGAGTCTGAGCATTAGATTTCCTGGTCCACTGAAATGTACATTACCACAAGACAATTCAGATTTTATCTAGTTGAACAACAAGCAGGCAGCAGCATACCTTTATTTAGAGGCTCATTGCCAGTGAGCAGGGAAACAGTGTACAAATCACAGAAGCCCTAAAGAGTTGTCACCAGGATACTGCAGTGGTTACCAGCCTCTAGCATTGCACATCAATTTATAGCAGTTTAGAACAAGTAGTTTAATCCCACATTATAATTCAGCATTTAAAGACCCACAAACTGCTATTGATTAAGTTGTTTTAGAATGAATCAAAGTTAGTTTTATTTGCAGCTATGCTGGGACCTGCTGATCAATCACAAGTTTCAAGTGTTTCCTTTGCAGCCTCCATTCAGTCCCACTGGGTGATTCTGTCCTGCTCAGGGATCACGCTCCAGTTGGGCGAGGGCTCATCTCGGGCCAGCCAGTCAAAGTCATCCACCAGGTTCCAGTTGTTCCTGCCTCTGTCCAGCCCGGAGGACTCGTAGTCGCCCTCGATGCCTGGGTAGCTCCAGGTGTAGGGGGCGAAGCGGACGCCACGGCAGTCCTCCACGATAGCCCGGCTGGTCACCTGCACATAGATCCGGGTGTCCCGGGTGCGGTGGGTGCGGAGCTGCTGGCAAGCCAGGACCAGGAGGCAGTCACTACACCCGTCCACCAGCACCGAGGTGGAGACGGGCCCACAGAGCACGGTGCAGCCCCGGCAGTCCCGTACCCGGAGCGTGTTGGGGTTGCCGCGGAGCAGCACGCGGCAGTCGCTCAGGTCGGCCAGGAGCACATCGCGCTGCAGCAGCTCCGAGGGGCCGAGCTCCAGTGTCTGGGCCTCGGCCTGGCTGAAGCCGCACAGCGGGGGGCCGCTCCCTTCGCCCTCCGCGGGCAGCTGGCCGGCTGGGGCTCGCGGCGGGACGGACTCCGCGGGCAGCTGGCCGGCCGGGGCGGCAGGCGGGGCGGACTCCGCCTCCTTCCTGCGGGCCCGGAAGGCGAATCGCTTCTTGGGCTGCAGCTGCTGGCGCTTGGCCGTCAGGGCCCCCTGGAGCCGGCTCAGCGCCTCCTGCGCCTGGCGCACCTCGTACGGCGCCAGGAAGCGGACGCTGTCGGTGAGGAGCTTCTGCAGCCCTTGCAGCCTGGCAGCCGCCTCCTCCAGCGACTCGGGCCGGCCCGCCGCATCCTCCTCCTCCTCCGCCGCCTGGCCCGGGCCGGGCCCCAGCAGCGCCTCGATGGCCGCCCGCTCCCGGGAGAAGGCGGCCACGAAGAACCCGCTCTGCTCCTCCTGCACCGCCTGGGCCGCCTTCTCCTGCCGCCGCCGCTCCGCTTCCCGCTGCCGCTCCGCCTCCCGCCGCTGCAGCCGCTCCGGCACCACCACAGCCCGCGGCCCCAGTGGGGCAACGCCGCCGCCAGAAGCTGCCGGACCCCGCTCTGCAGCCGCTGCCTCCATCTTCTCCCCCGTCCTGCTGCTCCGCCTCTCACTAAGCGGCCTGCTCATTGGCTGCCGGCACCCTGGGCTGGGTCCCCGCCCTCGATTGGCGGCCGGCCTTTCAGGAGGGGGGATGGGCGTGGCCTCGCGTGTTTTTAAAGGGGCCGGCGCCTCTCTGCGGGAAGGGTGAGTCTCCGCATTAGACGTGCCCGCCTGTGGGTTTGTTGTTATTGGGCTTCCGAAATTAGAGCCAGGCCGTAAATAACCCCGCGTGACCCCCTCCCCCACTCACCCGCGCGCGCGGGGCCGGTCCCCTGCTGAGCCTGGCGGAGGAGGAGGCCGCGCGACCAGTAGTAGCAGGTGCGCGCGCTACTCGCCGGCAGCGCGGCTTGGCCCTGCTCCTCCGCCCGGCAGGGGGGCAGCCTCGGCCGCGCCAGGCTTCCCCCGTCAGGAGAGACCCCGCGGGGGTGACGGAGCTTCGGCTCCCCCCTCTGGCTGGTCCCTTCCCTCTAGGTGCTGCGGTCCCCAAGCCGGGGCCTTCCTGCCCCGCTGCAGCAGCGCCACCCCACCCCCCCGTGGGGGAGGGAGTCTGCTGAGAGCAGCCGTAGGGCAGTGGGCCTGGGACGGGTCCCTAGGAAGGCTGGGGCTGCGCGTCAGGCGTGGGCCGGGGTAACCCAACACCAGGAGCAATAAGGGGCCAGGGCCAGAGCCGAAATAACCCTGACATTGTCTCCCTGCCCCCGCAGCCTGTTCCCTCCACACAGCCTCTTCCGATCGCCTGTCAGTTCGCTTTGAAGATGGGCTGCGGGGAGGTTTTCTTCCCGCTTCCCGTTTTCTTCCTTCCGTGACTTGTAAATAATTTGCGGTCTGAGGCGTTGTCGTGACTAGAATGTATTTGACGTTCAAAATAAAGTCTGGCCTAAGCGAGTGATGGCTGCCCACTGAATTATGTTATTTTTATTGTGAATTTCTATGTATTATGAAGGTCTTGGCCCTATAGACTACAAAGAGGAAGACCTGGGCTGTGCCCCTGAAGGAATTTACAAAATAAATGGACAGGTATTAAAAGTACTGTCAAAATTAAGACCGAGTACACTGGATACCTAGGTCTTAAGGAGGCTCCAGTATCAAAGTGGTATAGATAAGACAAACATTGGTAGTACTTCCTGTACTAAATTTCATTTGGTGCAGATATGTGGTGCTGGCTGATTGTAGTACACATGCTCCTCAGAACTATTCCTAGGGATCAAGTGACTGTTTCAAACAGTCAAATTTTAAAATGGAGTATTTGGATGCATAAATAAACAGGGATCTAAGTAGCACATTTATATGTGCAAATGCTCGGTTTGACTGCACCATTGCAGTTGTGTTTTTCATGATTGTGCATCTGACTTCTTGATTGTCGGTTTTATTCAAAAGGGAAGGGTACAGGTGAAGGGTGTGCATGTGGGTCCTAATGTGTTTAGAGATAAGAAGCTGTTGGAAAAATATAGACCTACCAAGGATTTCTCTCACTCTGTTATTCTTTTTACTCTGTTTCTTAAATTTATTTTACAGTCAAGGCATATTTTTAAAGTAAGCCTGCTGGCTTCACAGTAGAAATATAATCAGCTGTCGCTGTGAGTTGGCAGTTCTCAGCAGAACATATATTTTTTTGGTTAAACTAATGTTCTATAACACAAAGGAAGTTTATATCGTATGAGGAAGATTGCTTTATAAAAAAATAAGTCTTAATGCCTGTTCAATTCTACCATTTGCCATCTTCCTCTTTGCATGTGGAAAATGCATAAAATAAACAATTATCAAATCCCCCCAACAACCTTAGAAACAATCCATTAAAATGAAAATGTGAAATATTCAGAGAAAGTGGTTTGGGTTTGATTTCTTTTATTTGGACAATATCTGTTTATCTGCTATAACTGATTGCCTGTTACAGTTAGGAGTGGGCATTGAATCTGACTGACTTCTTTGTAAGCTATAATATTTTGTTTATTGGAGAGACTGGGTTTGATTTTTGTGTCAAAAGTAAAATTACAGTATTAGCTTCTAGGGAGTATTTGTATGGGACCTTGCAGGTAGTAAAGACAGTCCATTTTGGACCATGGAGGAAGAGGCAGTAAAGAAGGAAGGCAGTGAAATGCCCTTCTTTCTTGTTTTGCAAAAGCTTAAGTTTTTAAGGGTTCTGCATTGCAATGGAGAGGGGGTATTGGTGGAATAACTTTGATGTTATGATTTAAAAATTGAAGGATGAATGTTTGTCTAGTAAGATAAGTACTTCACAGCAGGTTTGTAAGCATGGGGCGAAAGTAACACAGTAATTGCAGTGGAGTCACATTGCTTTCTTGTAATTGATTTCCAGCATACCGGAGGTAATAGTCTATTCAGATGGAATATAGAAGGGTAATGTAGTGTTTAATGCATTCCAGCACTTAGCTATCTCAACACCGCAAAGTTAATGGGTCCAGAATTCTGCTTGTAAAGGAAGAACATAAGAGTTTTTGAATCTTATAAGAAATATCTCTTAGGCTTTGAAAAAGGAGAGTGCTGATTCATGAAAACTAGAAAGAAATTCTGAAAGCCTCTCATTCCCCCCCTGTTTTGTAGGAATTATGTCAGTATAAAACATAAGTTAACTGAAATACATCAAGATGTCCTAGAGAGACACTTATGCCAATTAACAGCAGAAACAAATCCATCCCTGGTGTAACTGCTGTGGCGTTACATCAGACATTAATTCGGTGCAATGAGCTTAGTGTAAAAATAAATAAAAATTTTCCTTCAACATTGATATTTTTTCTTGGTTCTGTTATTAAAAATAAGAGGTAGATGTATGTTGTGTCAATGACAGGCAGAGTTTCCTACCTTATGCTCTCTCTGATGTAGGCAACACAAATAATGCAAGTGTACAATGATGAAAGCACTTATCTATGAACACGATAACTTTGACAAAAAACAGTTTTGTCCCATTTCTCAGCATCTCAGGAGAGAGCTTTTGAGAATGCTGTATTGAAGTCTCAAGTTACGAATACTTCATTACCTTTACAAAATTGTGTACAATCAATTGTTTTGTGCTAGAGGAAATGTCAGAAATAACCAGACACTAAATTACATTTGTCAAAATACATTAAATAGGTACTTCTTGTGATGCAATATAATTTTTTATTGTTGACTCATAAAACTTGATAATCTTACCGGGGAGCTTCCTGCAGTTTACTGATGGTACAAAGTAGCAAGAGCCAACTGTATTTGTGAGTATGAGATTCACATAGAGAATGGAATTTTTTTGACTCTGTTAAGCCACACAAATGATCTATGGTGTTAAGAGGCTAACCAAAGTACTTTTGTACCAGTGAGTTACATGGATATCAGAGGGTGACACTGTAGACTAGTAATGAAAGATTACAGAGAAAGGAGCAACAAAATCCTTTCCTTCAATTTTCTCATCTAGAAGTTACAACTTTCCTTTCCTCATTTAGAATTTCAGATTTCAGTAAATAATTATTAGTACAGTATTTTTTGTAGGAGCACCGAGAAACTCAAACTTTTCCCGTTATTCAGACCTGTCTGTGACACCTCTAATTAAGGTTGCACTTTCTATTTTAAGCCCCTGCTTTCTGTTTATAACATTGCCAGACTTTAACCATTTGAGTTGAAATTTTCCATGCTTGTTCTTTGCCTCGGACTGAATTTTGGGGGGAATTTTCAGCAAAAACAGTTTAGCTGTTTCTGAGACCATGGTTGGCAAAACTACCTATTTTTCTCTAATCTTATTTTTTTGTAACTGTTTCATTGAAGAGTTCTAGCAGCTTCATGCTTTTGAGTGAGGAACTTGAAATTTGGCAGGTGGATGGGCCTGTGGTTAGGAAGACGCCTTTTGTTATCTCTTTTTGACAATCAATCCTGACTTGGTTTAGTTCTAAGCTTCTGAAATTACTGAGCATGTGCAAATAGCAGAGCTTTTTAGATGCTGCTGAAGTCTTTGAACATTCTGTTAACCACAAAGCTGTCGGTGCTTTAGACAGACCTTCATCTGTACTGAGCATGCACCAGCCCTATGGAGCTCTTAAATGTCACTTGTTTTAAACATGCTCCCAGGCCCTGCTTAATCTTTATCACATTGTTACAGATATAGACCATTATCTACATTTGAAATGCTTTGATTTGTTTTTTTTTATTTATTGATTCATGGCCTCTTGAAGAAAGAACTAGTGAACAGAGAAATACATTAGAATGTTGATTCCACTAGTACAAAAATATTAGACTATGTCCTTTGTGCACATTAATTTGGATAACAATTAATCGAGGTTACATTTTTGTAGGGAAATATGTTCTTAAAAATTAACCTTAAGGTAACAACGCTCTTGCTTTTGGGTAAGAAAGTCATTATGGGTATGTCTACACTGCAGCTGGGAATAAGCCTCCCAGCCTGGGGAAGACAGATTTGGGGGCTTGAGTTAGCATGCTAAAAATAGCAGTGTGGACACTGAGGCTTGGGCTCTCAAGGCTAGGGGGTCGGGTGGGCTTGAGAGTCTGAGCTGCAGCCTAACCAACAACGTCCACACTGCTATTTTTAGCATACTAACTCAAGTCCTGCTGGTGTGAGTCTGTCTACCTGGACTTGGAGACTCTCTCCCAGCTGCAGGGCCCAATTCTCTCCTCAGTTACCCTGGTACTGAATTCAGTGGAAGTTGCATCCCTTTATTTGAAGGGAGAATTAGGTCCTGGGTTCAAGTTCCATGTAAGAAGTTGGGTTCATAATTTGCCACTATTACTGTGCCATAATGTTCAGGTGAAAATTAAAGACTGCATTGCACTTTTGTCACTACTTAAAAACTATAGGGAATAACTCTATAAATCTGTCCAACAGTATCTGTCTGTCAAATAGGATTGTTTTATCCAAGACCCAAAGCTGCCCCACCAAGGAACACGGATAATGTGGCTCTGTGTGGGCATAGGAGTCCTGCATTGTTCTGAGTCTAGGGTTGGGGCATGACAGTGTGTGAATTGCTGATGGCTGCATAATGGATGCTGCATTGGTCTACACAACCATTGCACTACAAGGGTCTGAT